TTTTATTTTATTATCATTATTATTATTATTATTATTTTTTTTTTTTTTTTTTTGTGAACATCAAGATCTAGAGAGTTGCCTTGACATAATCAATCTTGGCTGAATAATCTCTTCGAACAAAAATAAGACCAATGTTATTTTGAATGAATTACTGAAAAAAGTCACAAATCTAGATCGTTAATTATCATCATCTAACATTTTAGATGGAACAAAGAATCATTTAGACAATGATTCGTTAACAATTAAAATCACTTTTGACACGAAACAAAGAAAATTCTAAATAAGCAAGAAATGCCAAACATTCTTAAGGGTTTTGTTTGATCGTACTAATTATTTTTCTCATTGGTTGTTCACTACCTCTAACCGTCTCTTGTGCTTTCGTACATGACTCAACGATAGAGGTTTCTTACAAGTTTTCCTATTATGTTTCTTCCCACTGAAATTTCCACACCTTGGTGGATGCAAGAACTCCAATTTCATTCGTCTCCTTGTTCTCCTAGGCCAACCGGGTTTCTTTTTAGATTTTTGAGGAAAAATATCAACTCGGCATCAATTATTGTCAATTTTCCATTGGGAACGGTCCCTAATTGAAACGATGTATCCATTGTAAGTACCAATATATGACTCTTTCGTATGGTATCTGGAACGGTATTTATAAAGCAAATCTCCTTTTCATTGATAATAGCTAAACCGTGCTGACAAAAAAATTCCATCAAAATGAAACCTATTGCACGAGCATTTCGTTTCCAACAAATCAACAAGACGTTGTGTGTTCTCAACCGGCACTTGATATACAAAATTGTTTTGAGATTTATACCTAAAAATTTGGAAATTCATGTTAGTAACCATACTAATATTTGGATGCAAAGTGGAAAAATCAGTAATCAACAAATTCAGATTCATGGTAAACACGGGAAAAAAAATGGTAGATTGAGAATTTAAACTATTACAATTTAATGAAAAGCATTTGGAACAAGTCTAGATCAAGTTCTCAAGGCAACTTTATGTATATCTCTTATACGCCATATTAATTAGGCATAAATATCGGGTCGGTCGATTATGATATTTTATATTCGAAAACATTCATTAGACTTCCGCATGGGAAGGAGACAAAATTTACTTTAATACAAGGAAACTCGCAATTTTTTTTTTGTCTAAAAAACCCTAAATAGGCTTGGGGGCAGACATAGACCAATGCCAGGCTTACCCTCCATCCCTCTATTTCGAATAGGGAACAATACATAAATCAAGTTTTTAAGTATCACAATTTCAAAATTAAGGATAGATGTTTTAAATTTCAAAAATTAGGTTTACATTAAAATTTATTTGTGAATTAAATAATTAATTATATATTTTATTAATAAATATATAAAGATCACAAATCTATGCAATTTGGTCACAATTCAAAAATTTTAAGGTCACAATTAAAAAATTTTATAGGTCACGGTTCTTTCATTGGTCACAAATTAAAAATTTTAAAGTCACAATTGTTCATCGATCACGAATCACAAAATTTA